CGGCCGTGTCTGATCCATGCCCACAGCAATCCAGGCTGGAGTCCAGTGACCTCTTCAGTTGTGGCGGGCACTATACAGGTGCTGCCTAGGGGCCGCAGGAGTGGACACTGTTACTCATTTTCTCAGCTCATTTTCCACCAGAGAAATGCCCTGGCCTCCGTGTTCCAGGCGCTCACTTTTCAGACTCAGTGTGACGTTGCCTGCAGGATCTGTGGGTTCCACAGAAGCACAGTATCACGTGGGTGGTTTCTTGAGTGGACAGCCTTCCCACACTGGCACACACTGTGCCTTCCTGTTGGCCTCTTGACCCCTATAAGGTCAAGTGAAAAGACAAAGCTCATAGACAAAGAGTCGCCGATCTCCATCCGCAGCCTGTTCCTCCCTCAAGCCTCTCTTCCCAGGTATTCTAGCCCCCCGCACCCCACTCTCACTGCAGGGTGACAGCTCGGACCCATTTCTCATCTCACTCTTTGCCTCCATCCCACCCAGCAGCAGGCTAGGACCTCAGACTCGGCATCATGTCTTCCCACTTTGGGAGGGAGGTTAGCGGCTTAGAGAGAGGTAGACACACGCTCAAGCTGTGGCTCTTCCAGCTTTGTTTGCCGCCAGCTGGGCATCAGCTAGGAACAGCTGTGTGACCCAGAGACATGGCCTTGCACTCTCTTGGAGGAGGAGATACTTATCATTTTTATGAAGGAATTTGATGATAAGCCCTGGGGTACTGAGCGCAGGCAATTGTCCTCCATCAGCTGCCATGGGGGCATGAATGATGCCAGTTTGTGGATGATGCTGATTTGCTACAGATTGGCTTGAGACCTCCTCCTCTTCCCTCTTCCTGTCTTCTCTCTCTCTCTCTCTCTCTCTCTCTCTCTCTCTTGATTCCTGGGAATTGAACTCATGATGTTATACATACGAGGTGAGCATACTCCCATTGAGCTACAACACCCCCCCCCCCCTTTTTCTCTTTTCTTTAATCCTGACAAGTACAGTACAGTTTTGCCATTACAAGAGTTATGCTATTTCTGGGTGTGATGGCATGTGCCTGGAGTGAGAGGTGGAGGCAGGAGGATCAGGAGTTCAAGGCCATTCTCAGCTGCATATTCAAGACCAACCTGGATAATAGGAGACCTTGTATCACATCAAATAAATCAGTCAGCGAGTAAAACACGGCTGCATCTGAAACAATGCAAGCAGGGTTTGTGCAGGAATGTCACTGTTCTCATTGGCTAGCACTGATAACAGGAGCCACAGGTGCTACTTTTTTTTTTATATATTTTATTTATTTATTATGTGTACAATATTCTGTCTGTGTGTCTGCCGGCAGGCCAGAAGAGGGCATCAGATCACATTTCAGATGGTTATGAGCCACCATGTGGTTGCTGGGAATTGAACTCAGGACCTTTGGAAGAGCAGGTAATGCTCTTAACCACTGAGCCATCTCTCCAGCCCCCAGGTGCTACGTTTTATGGGACAGTCATGTGTCCAAGGTGCTATGTAGTCCTCCCAGTGGCCTTTGTGATGCTCGTCCTCCAGATGAAGAAGCTGAGGTGCAGGGAGATGAATTTCCTCATCCAAGATCACACAGCTGGAAGTTAGGGCTCACTTCTGCTTTTAGAGCGGGCACTTTAACCAGCACACTGCAGCCCTGCATCCTTTTTGCAGACCTGCAGGGGCTCGTGCTGCAAAGGATGCTTGTTTAGATGTCCCCGACTCCTGTTTCCTTCTAGTCTTTCAGGACAAGAAATGTACATCTGGAAATGATGCTGCTGTTTTCCTATTAGTAGCTAGGACACTGGAAGGGAAGAAGGGTATGGAAAATCATTTGTATGTATCTTTGTGTGGTGTATGCGTGTGTGTGCATGTGTGTGTGCATGTGTATATGCATATGCACACAGAGGTGGACATGCCTGTTTTTTGGAGACAGGTTTATGCACTGGCCCTGAAGCCCACTGTTTTCTCTAGACTGCATGACACCCTCCTCAGTGCTGGAATTACAGGCATGTAACCATGTCTGGCCTTTTATGTAGACGGTGATATCTGAATTCAGGGCCCCATGCTTCTGCAGTAAGCACTTTCCCAGTGCTGTTTCCTAGCCTCTGGGAACCAGTTTTGTGAGTCCAGAGAGGAGCAGCCAATCCTGCTTACCATGAGCCATCCATGCCCCAAAGAGAAAGGTGTGGCGTGGAGGCGAGGGCTCCCAGAGAGAAAGGTGTGGCGTGGAGGCGAGGGCTCCCAAAGAGAAAGGTGTGGCGTGGAGGCGAGGGCTCCCAGAGAGAAAGGTGTGGCGTGGAGGCGAGGGCTCCCAGAGAGAAAGGGGTTTGGTTTTGGCAGAAGCAGCATCAGTGAACACAGACTTGAGTCTGCTGAATACAAAGTCCCTATCTAGGGTGACCTTTTGACCTGTGGAAATGGGCTGGACAGACAGAAGGTTCACTAAGTAGGGGCATTTGTTTCTCTTGCAGAGAGCCAAGTTTGATTTCTAGCACCCACCCACATGGCAGCTCACAACCTTTTGTACCTCCAGTTCTGAGGATTTGACTTCTGGCCCCCACAGACATAATCTTTTGTACCTCCAGTTCTGGGGGATTTGACTTCTGGTCCCCACAAGCACTGCACACCTGTGGCACACAGATATTCATTCAAGGAAAACACCCATACTTGTAAAATAAAAATAAATAAACTCTTAAAAGAAAAGTGGAGACTGAGGGCAAGCGACGGCATGGCCACCATTCAGACGAGGCTGTCCGTCTCTTGAGTATAACAGTCTTCCATGCTCCTATTGGAATGTCCGTCAGCAATAATATGAGTGTGAACTTAACAGCTTATCTCCCTTAAAGTGACTTGTTCATGCCCCAGGTTCCTTGTCTTTGGTCCCAATTGGCCCCTGGTCCACTGGGCTACTATAAGAAGCAGCTCATTTGGAGGTAAAAGGAAAAAAAAAGAAGACAACTGTTTCTCCTTAGAGAATTGTGTTCTGTGCTTTGGGTCAGCGTGGCTGCTGATGGCATCCCTAACCTGGACATCAGTGGTTGTCCTGCATCTCCAACCTAACACTCTTGTCTTATGTCCATATTTCCGGAGACTGAGGCCTAGGAAGGGAAGTATCAGCATTTCAGAATTTTAGTTCCAGAGGTAAAAAGGCGCATGCTTGTGAGAATCTCACAGACCAAAATCAGCTGGGTAAAACGAATTCTCTGGCCTGGCAGAAACTACTTTTAAACAGAGCCTGGTAGCTTCAGCACTTAGGAGGTTAAGGCAGGAGGATCACCAGGAGTTCCAGGTAAGCCTGGGCTACAGTGTAAGACAAGAGAGCCCTTTGGGGCTGGAGATCTAGTTCAGTTGGTAGAATGATTGTCTGCATGCACAGGGTCTGGGTTCAGTCCCCAGTACAACGTAAGCTGAGGGTGGTGGCATATGTATGTAATCTCACACTCCCTTAGTGTCATAGTGAGTTGGAGGCCAGCCTGGGCTACGTGGAGGTCTGTCTCAAAAACAGAAGCAAACAGAAATGAATCCTCCCACTACCATGTACAGTCTTTCAAGTAAAATTTACCCTGGTAGGAGTGAATCTGAATGGGCCATCTTTTTTTCCTTAGTTTGTAGCCCAGGCTGGCCTTCAACTCCCTGCCTTAAAGTCCCGATCCTCCTGCCTCCACCTTCACATTGCTGGGGGTGGGCGTAGAATTATGTGGCACCAGGCTTATCTTTAAAGGTCATCTTAATTGTGGAGTGCCGGTGTTCCTCCAAGGTCTGGATGGTTCTGTAGCATTTTATCGCCCTCCTTGGGAAATCAGTCCAAATCAGACAGAAACATCAGTTTGGGTACATCAAAACCCTTTTGTCTTTCCATTCTGGTTTGCCTTTTGACAGGATATAATCACAGATCCATTCAAGCTTGCAGAGGAATCTGACAAGGCGAAGCCCAGACATGCACCTGATGGCGCTGGAGGCTGCTGCGGCAAAAAGAAAAGCTGCTAGATCGATGGCCAGGGCGGAGCTCAGTTCACGCGCGAACAGGCGCCTAAAAAAACCCGGCTCACCTGGGCTTTTAAACCTCCTCTTCCCCAGTCCCCAGTGCAAAGATGACGGGAAGGTGGCAAAGGCACCTCAATCTAGATTACAGCAAAGAATAAGAATGAGCTTTAGAAGGTGTTAATCTAAGGGTCACAGCTAATCACCAGCCTTTCTATTTCGCTATTCCAGAGTTCCGGTGCCACCTAGTGGTCAGAAGTAGGACTTGGAAGCGTAAGGTTTAATTTACTCAAAGGGCCCCAGGCATCGACTTGGAGGAGGGTGGTGGGAGAGTATCTTCCTTCTGGCCTACCACCGGACACCGCCGGACTTTTGTGTTCATTCAGGAAGTAGAGCCCCTACTAAATTTACACTATGTCAAAATATTGTCAAGTCAAATTTGTTAGGAGTCTTCTTCAGGTCCTGCTGTAATTCAATAAAGAATAAAACAAATGAATAATAAATTTGACCTCAGCTCACCCTGATGATTGACACCACACACACTGTCCTGGTCTGTCTTAACTGGTGTTTTTGTTTTTTTGTTTTTCAAAAGGAAAGCTAAGAGATGTGAACAGGATTCCTCCCCTTCATAGGGCAATCTGATTAAACTTTCACCAAATGCTGGGTTTGCTTTCAGGTCCCTATTAAAGAAGTTATGAGCATTAAAGGAAGGATCAATGACAATAAGTTGAAGGGCCAGAGAAATCTCAGTTCTTATCATCAGGAGATGATAATTGAGATTTTAAACAGCCCTGGGGCTGGAGATGTAACCCAGTTGGTAGAATACTTGCTGGGCATTCACAGAGCTCTCGGTTTGTTCTCTGGTCCCAGGTGTAGGATAGCACACACCTGAAGTCCCAGCACTCAGGAGGTAGAGGCCTGAGGATCAGAAGCTCAAGGTCCTCCCTCTTCAGGTACAGAGAGAGTTTGAGGCCAACCTGGGATACTCAGTGTCAAAAACAAATAACAGCCTTCAACAATAGAGGGCTTTGATAAGAAAATCTTGGTTGTTCTGAGCTCCAGGCAAAAGGAGTTTGGGCAACAGGGAAAGAGATGGGGTTAGTGTGACCCAGGAGATTTCAATTAGGAATTTGAGAATGTTTAAGCCCATAAAACACTGGGGGGGATTCTAAGGGCAGATTCATCTTTTTTTTTTTAAATATTTATTTATTTATTATGTATACAACATTCTGTCTGTGTGTATGTCTGCAGGCCAGAAGAGGGCACCAAACCCCATTACAGATGGTTGTGAGCCGCCATGTGGTTGCTGGGAATTGAACTCAGGACCTTTGGAAGATCAGGCAATGCTCTTAACCTCTGAGCCATCTCTCCAGCCCCAGATTCATCTTTTAAAAGAGATCTCGATGGGCGGTGGTGGCGCACACCTTTAATCCCAACACTTGGGAGCAGAGGTAGGTGGATCTCTGTGAGTCCAAAGAAAGTCTGGGAAGGTCTCAGAATTCTGAGTGGGTTCAGCTCTCATCCCTGACTTTGGCAGACAGTTTTTTTCCCAGCCCTGTTTGTCTCAGTAACCTAGATTGGCTATAGAATTCCTCATATGCCCTGTTTTAACCTACTGCAGTGTGAGACTGGTGTGGCTGGTCACACTGCATGATCTCTGTGTCTGTGTGAGTGTGCTGTGTGTGTCCAGAGGGCACTGGAGCCCCTGAGCTGGAGCTATGGGCGGTTGTGAGCACCCTGGTGTGGGCACCGGGAACCAAAGTTGGCAAAAGCAGCAAATGCTCTCCGCTGCTGAGTCATCTCTCCAGCTCATTATGAATCCAAAAAGGAATCTGCTTATTTTTATTTATTTGTATGTGTATATAATGTCCTGGCACGCTTGTAGGGGAAGGGGTCCTGCCCTATTGCTCTCCATGAAGACGGGGTCTCTCACTGAACCTCAAGCTTGCTAGACAGCTGGCCATCAGCAGCACCTGGGGTTATAGAAGCTTGGCAAGCTGCGCCCAGCTTCTGTGTGAGTGCCGGAGATCTGAACTCGGGTCTTCATGCATGGGCAGCAAGAGCTTAACTCACAGAGCCCCAGCCCCAGCCTCAGCCCGGGCCCCGGCTCCAGCCCCGGCCTCGGCCCCAGCCCACATGTGCCTAAAGAGGGCACATGTGTTGGCTCCTATGAGTAACCAGATGTCTTCAACTACCTACTCCGGTTAGGGTCATGAAAAGGATTCTCTGTAGATCTTGGCCTAGGATCCAGTAGAGAGGGCAGTCACTGAGTTCTGTGTATGTGGAAGCCAGAGATTTACCTTGGATGTCAGGCACTGGCCTCCTTCATTTTTGAGACAGGGTCTCTAATTGATCTGGAACTTGCCGAGTAAGCTAGTGAGCTCCTGGGGTCTGCCTCTTTCCACCTCATTGTGGGATTGCAAGTAAAGCCACCATGCCCAGCTTTAATGTATATATTTAATATATATATTACAATACACGCACATGCATAGACGATTGATTTTCTTTTTTATCTGGGTGCCGGAGATCTAATTCATGCTTGTGTGGCAACCATTCTTCCCACCGAATTCTCTTGCCAGCTCCCAGACTGAACTCGTTTGCAAATGTGAAGCTGGAATTAGACGATCCTAGCGATAACCCATGACATATCTTTAATTCATTACAAGCAGCGGCCCAAGCAGGCTTGTGGAGAGTGCCAGGGAGGCTCACAGGAGGGAACCAGAGGGCCGCAGCTGCTCATGGTAATTTGACATATAGCTCAGAGCCTGACTCTGTCAGGTGAAGTGGCCTGGACAGTTTAGCCTCTGTCCCCAGAGTTAACCAGCTTCTCCCATAAAGCTTCCTTTGTGAATGTTAAATGAGCTGCCTTTAGAACGGCAACACCTCAAATGTCAAGCGCCAGAGAGGGAAGGTTTACACAGCAAGGGCAGGATGGCTGGTGTAGCTTCTGGGCCCTACACCTTCATCTTTTATTAACTGTCCTTGCTTTCTTTTTATCAATTAACCTTATTATCCCTTTCAACTGGCTCTACCTATGGAAGCACCGTGAAGGATATAGCTTAGATATCTTTATTTTTTCTTTTAAATAATGTAGCAGAAGCTCACAGAGTTGGTACCACCCTTTAAAAGTCACACTTTCCCTTGGCAGGGGGGATGGAGGGGAGGGGAGACGGGGACGACTCTTCGTTCCGCATGGATCCAGCCAAGCCACATAACCAGAGTGTGTCTTTACTGAGACCAGCTCCCTGATACTCCCTTCCCAGTGCTGCTTTCTCAAGTTTCATGGAAGCTGAGGCTGTACATATGGGAATTACCCCCATGGTGCAACTGTCTGCATAGAAACCCTGTCCGGGCAGGGGATGTAGCTCAGAGCATGCTGATATTATGCTCCTTTTACATATTTGGTTTTTTGAGATAGGGTTTCTCTGTGTAGCCCTGGCCGTCCTTGAACTCATTCTGACAGCAGGCTGGCTTCACACTCAGAGATCCGCCTCTTCTGTCTCCCAAGTGCTAGGATTAAAGACATGTGCCACCACTGCCTGGTTTTGGAGTGTTTTTTCAACATTTGTACTTTTTTATTCATTCATTATGTTTACACTGTTCTGCCTATATGTATGCCCACACACCAGAAGAGGGCACCAGATCTCACTACAGATGGTTGTGAGCTTAAGAAGTTCTGCAGTTTTTGCTACTAATGCTGAGTCAGGAAGCCTTCTCTTATTCTGCTTGCTGCCAACAAACAGCCTATCTGAAAAAAAAAGGGCTACAAAGAAGCTGCATTTGGCTCCTGTTTTTGTGGTTCTCGAAGCCCTGTTTTGTCTTGTTTTTATTAATTTTTATTGAGCTCTACATTTTTTCTTTGCTCCGCTTTCTGCCTGTCCCCTCCCCTTCATTCCTCTCCCATAGTCCCCATGCTTTCAATTTACTCAGGAGATCTTGTCTTTTTCTACTTCCCATGTAGATTAGATCTATGTAAGTCTCTCTTAGGGTCTTCATTGTTGTCTAGGTTCTCTGGGATTGTGGTTTGTAGGCTTGTTTTCTTTGCTTTATGTTTAAAAACCACTTATGAGTGAATATATATGATAATTGCCTTTCTGTGTCTGGGTTATCTCACTCAAAATGATGTTTTTTTAGCTCCATCCATTTGCCTGCAAATTTCAAGATGTCGTTATTTTTTTCTGCTGTGTAGTACTCCATTGTGTAAATGTACCACATTTTCCTTATCCATTCTTCGGTCGAGGGGGCATTTAGGTTGTTTCCAGGTTCTGGCTATGACAAACAGTGCTGCTATGAACATAGTTGAGCACATGTCCTTGTGGCACAAATTGAGCATCCTTTGGATATATACCCAAAAGTGTTATTTCTCGGTCTTGAGGAAGGTTGTTTCCTAATTTTCTGAGAAATCACCATACTTACATCCAAAGGGGCTGTACCAGCTTGTACTCCAACCAGCAATGCAGGAGAATTCCCTTTTCCCCACAACCTGTCCAGCATAAGTTGTCATCAGTGTTTTATTTATTTATTTATTTTTTGGTTTTTTGAGACAGGGTTTCTCTGTGGCTTTGGAACCTGTCCTGGAACTAGCTCTGTAGACCAGGCTGGTCTCGAACTCACAGAGATCTGCCCGCCTCTGCCTCCCGAGTGCTGGGATTAAAGGCGTGCACCACCATCGCCCGGTCATCAGTGTTTTTGATCTTGGCCATTCTTACAGATATAAGATGGAATCACAGAGTTGTTTTGATTCACATTTCTCTGATGACTAAGGATGTTGAGCATTTCCTTAAGTGTCTTTCAGCCATTTTAGATTCCTCTGTTGAGAGATCTCTGTTTAGATATGTACTCCATTTTTTATTGGATTATTTGTTCTTTTGATGACCAATTTCTTTTCTTTTCTTTTTCTTTCTTTCTTTTTTTTTTTGGTTTTTTTGAGACAGGGTTTCTCTGTGGCTTTGGAGCCTGTCCTGGAACTAGCTCTTGTAGACCAGGCTGGTCTCAAACTCACAGAGATCCACCTGCCTCTGCCTCCCTAGTGCAGAGATTAAAGACATGCGCCATTACCACCTGGCGATGACCAATTTCTTGAGTTCTTCATACATTTTGGAGATCAGACCTCTGTCTGATGTGGGGTTGGTGAAGATCTTTTCCCAGTCTGTAGCTGTTGATTGTCTTGTTGACCATGTCCTTTGCTTTACAGAAGCTTTTCAATTTCAGGAGATCTCATTTATTAATTGTTTCTCTCAGTGTCTGTGCTACTGGGGTTATATTTAGGAAGTGGTCTTCTGTGCCAATGCGTTCAAGTGTACTTCCTACTTTCTCTTCTATGAGGTTCAATGTGACTGGCTTTATGTTGAGGTCTTTGATCCATTTGGACTTGAATTTTGTGCATGGTGATAGGTATGGATATATTTTCATCCTACATATTGAAATTCAGTTATGCCAGCACCATTTGTTAATATGCTTTCTTTTTTCATTCGATATTTTTTGTTCTTTGTCAAAAATCAGGTGTTTGAAAGTGTGTGGATTGATATCTGGGTCTTCTATTCGGTTCCATTGGTCCTCCTGTCTGTTCTTATGCCAATACCAGGCTGTTTTCAGTACTGTAGCTCTGTAGTAGAGTTTGAAGTCAGGGATTGTGATGCTTCCAGAAATTCTTTTATTGTACAGGATTGTTTTGTCTATCTTGGGTTTTTTGCTTTTCCATATGAAGTTGAGTACCATTCTTTCAAAGTCTGTGAAGAATTTTACTGGGATTTTGATGGGCATTGTATTGAATCTGTAGATTGCTTTTAGTAAGATTGCCATTTTTACTATGTTAATCCTACAGACCCAAGAGCATGGGAGATCTTTCCACTTTCTGGTGTCTTCTTCAATTTTCTTCTTCAAAGATTTAAAGTTCTTGTCACACAAGTCTTCCAATTGTTTGGTTAGAGTTACTCAGATATATTTTATGCTATTGTGAAGGATGATGTTTCTCTGATTTCTTTCTCAGCCTATTTATCAACTGTGTAAAGGAGAGCTACTGATTTTTTTGAGTTAATTTCGTATCCTGCTACATTACTGAAAGTGTTTATGAACTGTAGAAGTTTCTTGGTAGGATATTTTGGGGTTGCTTATATAAACTATCATATCATCAGGAAATAGTGAGAGTGTGACTTCTTCTTTTCTGATTTGTATCCCCTTGATCTCCTTTTGATGTCTTATTGCTCTAGTTAGGATCTCAAGAACTATATTGAATATATATGGAGAGAGTGGACAACCTTGTCTTGTTCCTGAGTTCAGTGGGATTGCTGTGGGTTTTTCTCCATTTAGTTTGATGTTGGCTGTAGGCTTGCTGTATATTGCCTTTATTATATTTAGGTATGTTGCTTGTATCCCTGCTCTCTCCAAGACTTTTATCATGAAGGGATGTTTTGTCAAAAGCTCTTTTGGCATCTAATGAGATGATCATGTGGTTTTTATTTTTTAGTTTGTTTATATGGCAGATTACATTGACAGATATTTGTATGAATCATCCCTGCATCTGTGGGATGATCATGGTGGATGATGGTTCTGATTTGTTCTTGTATTCAATTTGCCAGTATTTTATTTAATATTTTGCATCAATGTTTATGAGTGAGATTGGTCTGTAATTCTCTTTCTTAGTAATGTCTTTCTGTGGTTTGGGTATCAAGGTAATTGTAGCCTCATAAAAAGAGTTTGGCAATGTTCCTTCTGTTTCTATTGTGTGGAACAATTTGAGGAATATTGGTATTAGTTCTTCTTTGAAAATCTTGTAGAATTCTGAGCTGAAACCATCTGGTCCTGGGCTTTTTTTGGTTGGGAGACTTTTGATGATTTTTTTCTATTTCTTTAGCAGTTGTTATAGGTCTGTTTAATTTGCTTATCCAGTCTTGATTTAATTTTGCTAAGTGATATTCATCCAGAAAGTCGTCCATTTCCTTTAAGTTTTCCAATTTTGTGGAGTATAGGTTTTTGAAATAAGACCCGATTATTCTCTGTATTTCCTCCATTTCTGTTGTTGTATCCCCCTTTTCATTTCCGATTTTGTTAATTTGGATATTCTCTCTTTGCCTTTTGGTTAGTTTGGATAAAGGTTTGTCTATTTTGTTTATTTTCTCAAAGAACCAACTCTTCGTCTCATTTATTCTTTGTATTGTTTTCTTTGTTTCTATTTAGTTGATTTCAGCTCTCAATTGATTATTTCCTGCCATCTAGTTCTCTTGGGTGAGTTTGCTTCTTTTTGTTCTAATGTTTTCAAATGTTCTGTTAATTCATTAGTGTGGGATTTTTTTCCAGCTTCTTTATCTAGGCATTTAGTGCTATGAACTTTTCTGTTAACACTGCTTTCATTGTGTCCCATAAATTTGGGTATGTTGTGTGGTCATTTTCATTGAATTTTAGGACATCTTTAACTTCTCCCTTTATTTTTTTCCTTGACCCATTGATGATCCAGGTGAGCATTGTTTAATTTCCATGTGTGTATGGGATTTCTGGAATGAGTGTTACTGTTGAAGTCTAGTTTTAAGCCACACATCTAAAGCTTAAATCATATATTAAACCCCACACACTAATAGTGGGAGACTTAAACACTCCATTCTCACCACTGGACAGGTCAGTCCGACAAAACATGAACAGAGAAATAAAGGAACTTACAGATGTTATGACTCAAATGAACTTAACAGACATCTATAGAACATTCCATCCAAACAGAAAAGAATATACATCTGACTTGAGACTGCCTCTCTGCCTTTCCTCTTCCAAGAATTCTCTTAGTCTGGCCACCCCTTCCATATTTCCTGCGTGGCTGCTGGTCAATCAGCATTGTATTAAGTCATTACAATGAACAAAAGCATTATCCCACAGCACGAGGAAAAGAAGTTGGGTAATAAATATTACACTTTTTTACTTAAAATTTCAAGAAGCATGGGCTGAAAAACGTAGTTTAGCTCACCTAGGATACAGGAAACCCTTGATTTGATCTCTAGCAGTGCGTACATGGAGGTGGTTGTGCTCGCCTATAATTCCAGCACTTACAAGGTGGAGATGAAAAGAGCGGAAGTTCAAGGTCATCCTCAGCTACACAGCAGGCTCAAAGGCAGCCTGAGATACTTGAGACCCTGGGGTATATGTCTCAAATACATAAATACATAAATTTAGCAGGTAAAATGCTTGCCGTGCAAGCGTGACTCAGTGACACCCATGCCTGTAATCCCAGTGTTTCTGCTGGGACAAGAAAGGTGCAACCAGGAGAACCCCCAAAGCTCACATGCCAGCTGGCCTCGCATCTATGGTGGAAAACAAACAAACAAACAAAAACAAACCCCAAGAGACCCTGTCTCAAACAAGGTGGAAAGGTAAGGACGGACGTCACCTGACCTCCACAACATGGTGATGTATGCACGCTGATATCCACACACAGATACACAGAGATAGAAATAAGATTAAAAGAAAATGGAAGGAAGCAAATAATTTGAGAGAGATATAAGAAATGGGCCAAAGCTTCAGCTTAGTGATAGTTAAAATATGCAGGTGCCTTAAAGGATCTGGAAAGAGCAGCAGGATTTTGTACTTGCATTTGGTGAGTATTCTTATCTATGCCTGAGGAGAGGTGGTGGTGTTTTAGCTTCATCCTCAGATGGGGAAGCAGACTTAGTGAGCATGAGAGAAACACAGGTTCCTGCTCTGGTGTCAGAGGTACACAGGTGTGAGTCTCATGGAGGGCTGTGTTCTCATCATCCCAACCCTGTCTTTTACTTACTCCACCCCCATCCCACCAATCCACATCTACTCTTGATGTAGCCCAGGTTGGCCTTGAGTTTTCTAACTGATGATGGCCTTGAGCTTCTGATTCTTTTACCTCACTCTCCCAGTGTTATGATTCTAGGTATGTGCTGGTCAGGCCTGGCTTCATGGGATGCTGCGAACTGAACCTGGGAACTCACAGATAGTAGGAAAACACTAGCAATCGAGCTACATCCCCACCTGCTGGGAACGCCATTTTAAAAGGCGGTGAATACTGTTCACCTGTCAAGTCTTTACTGTAGATGAACTCAGACCAGAGGGAGTGGGAGATAGGAAGAAAAGGGAGGGAGGAGGCAGAGCGAGAAGAGGCAACAGGCCACCGGAAGGCTGCATTAGGGTGGCTTCTCAGATGCTCACTTCCTTTCAGATAGCTGAGGACCAGATTTTAGCAAAGGCCAGCAGCATACACAGAATTCACATCCTTTTCAAAGGAGAGATCTTTGCTCACAACTGTTAAAAAGACACATTTCCCTTCTTCCCCCAGTAACAATGTCCAGAAAATACCGAGAAGGAGGGCAATGGGAAGATCCTCAACAGAAGCCTGCAAGGCCTCCTGAGACAGTAAGTACACCACAGATTTTATTCTAACTGAGTGTTTTTATGAACTGTCATGAAAAATTCTCATTTTGACTAAAAGCATTCTGTGTTTTTAAGCAAGTGCAGAGTGTTGCTGAGAAATCTCTCTAGGCCAACAGATTGGATTCTAGGGCAAGTTCGTGTAATACCAATGTTTTCTAGTTCCTGGGTTTCCTCTGGAGGCTTTGCATTCTGGTGGCATTCAAATGTCACTCTTGGTTGGAGTGTAGCTCAGCAGTAAAACATATGCCTACATGTTCAAGGCCTTGGGGTCTATTCCCCAACCCCCATCCTATGTAGGGCATTAACTGTGAATGCTTTTTATAACCCAGTTAACTTCAGAACAAAAATCTTCTCTATCAATGAGACCTTATGTTGACAGAAGCCATAGAGAACCAGATTTATTTTTCTTACAGTCTTTTAGAAAATTCAGTGCCTCCACCTTGGGGAGACATTTGGGTTTGGCTACAGAACCAATTTCTGAACCTGCATATTTGGGAATTTTCCTTCTGCACAGAAGAAAATTGAGCTGTCATTCTTAGCCCTTATTTTCTAGTGGAGAATTCTGGGAAGGGAAGTTCAGCTAGGGAAGGTGTTTGCAGGGAGGTTTGGACTGCCTGGCTGGAATGACTCATTCAAGGTCAGGCAAAGTCAAAACAAAGAGAGGGTTGAACACAGCTGTCAGCCTTTAAGAATCTCAGACCTTCAGTAGGGTTTTTTTTTTTTTTTTTTGAGGTAAACTATGGTCAGAAGTTAGGGGTTTGTGGTGTTATTTTTTCTCTCCAATTTGCAGAAGAGACCCCCCTATAACATCACTGACCTTGCCTATATCCCTAGAGGAACAGGTTGGGGCACCCCTATCCCTACTGTAGGTGCTTACTTAAAAACCCACACTGGCAGTTTTTCTCTAAAGAGCAAGTCTTTAAGTTGAGAAAGCCCCCCAAGGATGACTCTCATTGAAGGAAAAGGTGCTGAGCCAGGTGTCTGCACTGTTTTTTGTGTCTTGCATATTCACAAAAAGTTGGTGTAGGAGGTCCTTCTGTATTAGTGTGGCGTTCATTGGTTGATAAAGAAATTGCCTTGGCCTTTTGATAGGGCAGACTTAGATAGGCGAAGTAGACAGAACAGAATGCTGGGAAGAAAGGCAGTGTGGCAGATGCAATGAATCTCCAGCCTGAGATGGACGTGGGTTAGAATCTTGCTGGTAAGCCACAGTCAAGTGGTGATACCCAGATTTAATAGAAATGGGTTAATCGAGATGTGAGAGTTAGCCAAGAAGAGGCTAGATATAATGGGCCAGGTAGTAATTTAATTAATACAATTGTGGTGTGATTATTTCGGGGGCTAAGCTAGCCGAGCAGTAGAACATGGCCCATTCGCCTCTTACTACAAAGGGTACTAACCCATACCCATCCCTGAGGACATAGACCACTCAGCAATGCCCCATGGGTATCTGTATTCACAAAGGATACTAGTCTATACCCATCCCTGAGGACACACACCTCCCAGAAATGCCCCATGGCCCCATGGGTATCTGTATTCACAAAGGGTACTAGTCTATACCCACTCCTGAGGACATAGACCACTCAGCAATGCCCTGCGGGTATCTGAAATGGTTCTGTTTTATGGTATCTGCTGGGCAGGTCCTTCTCTGTTTTGCTCAAGTCTTGAACTTCTCATTAGGTTCTAGGCTGCTAAGACCACACTTTCCTGGCCGTTGCTTTCTCTGCATGCACAGGAAATGCCTGTAGGTCTGGCAGGCACTTCTTCCTCTCTCCACACTCCTGTTCCAAACTGCGCATTCAATATTTGAGAACCTTTAACTGTGTTTCCTCTTAGCCTGGACCACACTTGGGGGTCACACTTTCTATTAAGTTATAAAGACCCTGTTTTCCATCAGTTGGCTTAGAAGGGACTGTGTCTGTAGTCGTCAGATATCCTATAAATTCCAGCTTATAAACTAAAATGACACTTTTTTTTTGAGACAGGGTTTCTCTGTGTAGCCCTAGTTGTCCTGGAACTCACTATGTAAACCAGCCTGGCCTTGAACACTGAGACACTGACCCTACCCCCTGGAGGGTAATGTAAGCCACCATTGCCCAGCTTAAATGCCACTCTTACAAACATTCAAGAAACTTAAGAATCATTTTCTTCAATATAGCAATTGAAAAAATATATTTTTTTCAATATAGCAATATAGAAAAAGGAAGTAGGAAAAACCACCGGAAATCAGGGGGCTAGGAGTAGAGTTGAATATTTATTTGAATTAAAGTAAAATTCCCTTATTTAACCCTTTGCACATGACGTCGTGATTCTGGCTGCTTTAGACCATGGTGAACTAGCATGCACAATGCAGATACAGTTCTTGAGAAAGGACCGCTTGTCAATCACATGAATAATTTACCTATAATATTAGTAAGACCTCTTTGTTTTGAAGAAACATAAAGGAGAGATGGAGTATGGTGGCTTTTGAGCAAGGCCTTGAAGGGGGGCTACGTTGACATTTGGAAGAAATTGAGTCTCCCTCACAGGAAATAGACAGTGAGTACAAAGAACCCAAGAGAATCCCTCTGCAGTGACTGAGAAACAGCTAGGAGGAAGCCTGGCTGGGGCAGAGGGTAGGGATAGAGCTTGCGGCACCTTGTAGGCGGTCTGGGTACTTGGGCTTTTACCACAGGGGGATGAGGATTCAGAGGAGTGTTCAAACAGGGGAGCAACTGGCCTTCCTTTTACACGTCACTAGCTGCAAGGCCAGAGGACGGTAAGCGGACAGGCATAAAAGAGGAGTGGCAGGTAAGGAGATCACCGAAATGAGCTCCGGAATTCATTGTCCTGGAAATCATAAAACATGCTTTGGATGTAAACAAAAGGGAAGGGTAGTACAACTACGGAATACAAAATAAGAATGGGAAACATTTTTTAAAAAAATGCTTAAGCTGTGAGGCAAAAGATGCTACCACATCTATTCTCGATGCCACGGACTCTGGACCTATGCTCTAGAGGCAGAAGCAGGCGAATCTCTGAATTCGAGGACAGCCTGATCTACAAAGTGAGTTCCAGGACAGCCAGGGCTACACAGAGAAACCCTGTCTCGGAAAAGAAGCAAAAAGCAAAAGCAAAAGAATAAGCTTTTATGGGCTTTCTCAGGATGTTCTCTTCTTCCTATTTCCCAAAATTACCTGGATGCCCCCCCCCCAAAAAAAGCAGGTCCCATCTCATTCTGTGATTATAGCACGACTGCATGAGAATTCCTGTGATTAAGGTTTGTTTGGGAAGCTGCTCACTAACTTCCCCATGCTTCTTGGGCACAGTTAGGAGTTTGCTGAGGTCTAAAAAAACACCACAGGACATCCGTGAGGGCCGGCAGGTGGCGCCACGTGATCGTGAGCAGCCGAGGGCGCTCAGAGGCCTGCAGGCAGCGGGTCCACAGCTTTGCCAGGGCCACCCTGTCACCTCGAATCTCTCGAGGAGCGATGTGCAGAAGTGCAGGCTGGGGACTTGACCAGTATCCCCATTTGATTTTAGGTTCTGTGCACCCTAAGCCGTCTCCACTCGGCTCTGGTGCTCTCAGGGCAGGAGGGTTCAGCCCTTTCAGCACCGACGCGGAGCCCCGTGGAGCTCGCAAGGTCCTGCAGCGAGGACCCGCAGCCTTGCGCCTCGGGGCAGTGCTGCAGGGCTGCCAGGCCGTGCGCGGGGGATCTACTACAGAGACCCCACAGGGAGCGCCGCACCCGCGGACCGCTCCTCTTCATTGGACGCCTGGAGGAAGACCACGCCCCTTTCCCTACAGCGCTCCTTTTTGACTGGCTCTCGGGTCCGGGATGGCCACGCCTCCTCCCCTCGCATACACAAGAGTCACGCGCCTTTCAGTTGGAAACTTGGCATGCTGAGGAGGACAGTGGCCCTCATCTCCCCGCCCACCGCCCGTGCCATTGGTGCGGCACGCCGACTGCGACCACGCCCCCATTCCAGCCCCCTGGCTGGGAAGGCGGGCACCCGCTCTTGATTGGCTGGCCGATCTGCCATTCGTGGGAGCGGCTAGCACACCCCTCCCTCCCTTCCCTCCTCCCGCGAGCCCGGGGGTTCCACAGCGGGCCCAGTCCGAGTCAGTGTCATTCAGAGAGGCGGACTGCTGAGTGCTGGGCGCGGACGTGCGCTGCAGTCCTGCTCGGGCGCCGGTGCCTGCGCTCGCGCCGCCGGGTGGGAAGGATGAAGCCTCAGCTGGAGCAGCCACCCTATGATTGGCTGTGGCGCTTGTGAACCCGAAGTAAAGATGGCGGGCGGGCAGGCAGCCGCCGCACTGCCCGCTTGGAAGATGGCGGCTCGCCGCAGCCTCAGTGCCCGCGGCCGGGGGGTCCTGCAGGCAGCTGCGGGCCGGCTGCTGCCGCTGCTCCTGCTGAGCTGCTGCTGTGGCGCGGGCGGCTGCACAGCGGCCGGCGAGAACGAAGAGACCGTGATCATCGGGCTGCGGCTGGAGGACACGAACGACGTGTCGTTCATGGAAGGGGGTGCGCTGCGGGTGAGCGAGCGGACCCGGGTCAAGCTGCGGGTGTACGGGCAGAACATCAACAACGAGACGTGGTCCCGCATCGCCTTCACCGAGCACGAGCGGCGCCGGCACACACCCGGCGAGCGCGGGCTGGGGGGCCCCGCGCCGCCGGAGCCGGACAGCGGCCCCCAGCGCTGCGGCATCCGCACCTCAGACATCATCATCTTGCCCCACATCATTCTCAATCGCCGCACATCGGGCATCATCGAGATCGAGATCAAACCGCTGCGCAAGATGGAGAAGAGCAAGTCTTATTACCTGTGCACGTCTCTCTCCACGCCCGCACTGGGCGCCGGTGGCTCCGGGTCTGCGAGTGGCGCCGTCGGGGGCAAGGGTGGCGCGGGGGTGGCCGGACTCCCGCCTCCCCCATGGGCCGAGACCACCTGGATTTACCACGACGGTGAGGACACCAAGATGATCGTGGGCGAGGAGAAGAAGTTCCTGCTGCCCTTCTGGCTGCAAGTGATCTTCATCTCGCTGCTGCTGTGCCTGTCAGGCATGTTCAGCGGCCTCAACCTGGGGCTCATGGCTCTGGACCCGATGGAGCTGCGCATCGTGCAAAACTGCGGCACCGAGAAAGAGAAGAATTACGCCAAGCGCATCGAGCCGGTGCGCAGGCAGGGCAACTACCTGCTGTGCTCGCTGCTGCTGGGCAACGTGCTGGTCAACACCACGCTCACCATCCTGCTCGACGACATCGCGGGCTCAGGCCTTGTGGCGGTGGTGGTCTCCACCATTGGCATCGTCATCTTCGGGGAAATCGTGCCCCAAGCCATTTGCTCCCGACACGGCCTGGCAGTAGGGGCCAACACCATTTTTCTCACCAAGTTTTTCATGATGATGACCTTCCCTGCTTCTTACCCGGTTAGCAAACTGCTGGACTGCGTCCTGGGCCAGGAGATAGGCACTGTCTATAACCGGGAAAAACTGCTGGAGATGCTCCGGGTCACTGACCCCTATAACGACCTCGTTAAAGAGGAACTGAACATCATCCAAGGGGCTCTGGAGCTCCGCACCAAGACGGTAGAGGACGTGATGACTCCCCTCCGGGACTGTTTCATGATCACCGGCGAGGCTATCTTGGACTTCAACACCATGTCGGAAATCATGGAGAGTGGCTACACGCGAATCCCAGTGTTCGAGGGAGAGCGTTCCAACATCGTGGACCTGCTCTTTGTCAAAGACTTGGCCTTCGTGGACCCAGATGACTGTACTCCCTTGAAAACCATCACCAAATTTTACAACCACCCCTTGCACTTCGTCTTCAATGACACCAAGTTGGACGCTATGCTGGAAGAATTTAAGAAAGGTGAGAAATTTTGCTCTTTTTTTTAAATTGGCTCTTCTCTTTCTGCCTCCATCCTCCTCCCTCCCTAAGTCCTCTACCCCCAGACCAACCCCCCAGGGAGAGTTGACCGGAATTTCTCCTTCTAATTGCACAGCTGAAAGGGTGGCATGAACTTGGGGACGGATTGAACTAGTAAGCACTTCTGGGTTTAAAAGCCTGAGACTGTCATTACTTTTCCCACATCATCAAAAAACAAGCTTTGTAATTTCAGTGCATGAAACTTGACCCCCTTGGGGCCTCTGGTCTTGAGGGATCTACTTCATTCATTGTCTGGCTTCAGAATAGGTAGGTGAAAGTACAGGTTGGCTCCCGAGATGCCCTTCGGTTATATCTGATACAGACATTTGGAGAAAATTTAAGCAGGTGTTAAAAACCCAGTGTAATCCTTTTCCTTAAACATCCACATTGACATTTCGAAGATTGGCGGTGTAATTTTGGTGGATTTTGTTCTTGGCTCTCTGGCATCCTGCAGGGTAGATTGAGGACTTTTGCGGGTGGAGCAGGGGTAAAGAAAGTACCATTAAAACCCCCACTTTATTTGGATGTGACTTCTCTACCTAGAAAAGAGGGGTTTTGCTTTATTTAAAGCAAACTTCGTCATTACCATCTAACTGGGAAAAGCTGGAGGTGAATTAACTTTTGACGCGCTGTATCTGTCCTCCTCTCCTGCTTACACTTATCTGTCAGCAGTGAAGTTTCCTAAAGCAAGTGTGGTTTGGGTAGAAAAGTCGACCTGTGACAGTGATGTGCATACCGTTCTTAATCGTGATTTATTCTTGGATTTTTCGTCAGTTTAAAAGTGTTCTTTTAATCTCAGATCCTTGATACATTAAGATGAAATACTCCATCTCCAAATCCGGGTTCTAGGGTATTGACTGGGAAGAGGCCCAGCGTCTGGTGTTTGAGTGTTCACAGCTCACCGTTTCTTGCATTGAATAGTATTACGTGTCTTAATTTGTCATAAATAGGTAAATGGCAAGCTGCACTATTAGTATTGAGACTTTGGAAGTTTCCAGTAAGTAGCTAGTGCGGTTAAAACCAAGGGATGCTGAGTTTTGTCATTGGTGCTTGGCATGCACCGGCACTGCAAAGTGTGTGTAACCTTGCATGACCCGAAAACTAAATTCCCATTCTTCGCATGGAATTTCGATCACTAATGGGGTTGCTACCCTGACAAAAGCCATATGTACCTGGTGACAGCTCCCTGGATGTGATCATTTGAACATACAGTGTGTGTGCTTGTCCTTGCTCCCTTTTCTTGGATGAATGGTGTCCTCTCTGGAACAGGACCACAATGCAGTAATTTTCATATAAAAAAAATAGAGCAGAATGTGCTTCAGGGCTTAGTAATTTGCATTTAAAAGCAGGAGGAGAAAAAGAAAATGTCCAGTATCTCTAGCTACAGAGCATTTGGGGTGTCCGTTGACTGCCAAGCTGTTTATTAGAGCACTGAACTAGCGTCTTCTCTCTGCCACACAGGAAGACGTCTTGAATGCTTCAGGATGCCCTGAAGTCCCAGTGCGTGCAGTTTCTTACATCCTTTGTTGTTGTTGTTTTTATTCTTGTTCAAATTTTTTGCTTATCACCTTATATATTGCTAATACTAGGCTGAGTCCGGCATGATGATGTGGACCTGTGGTTCCAGCTATGTGGGAGGCTGAAGCTGGAGGATTGCTTGAGTCTAGAGTTCCACAGAGGCCTAGTCCATTAAAACAAAACAAAACCCAACACCCACTAGTTTGTACTCCCTGCTAGAGGCTTTCTTTACTTCGGTATCTTTTTCTTTTAGAATTTGGCTGTTTACTTCCTACTCCTACTCAAAGTTTAAAAAATTTTATATTATTTTAAAATTTGTTATTGGTTAGTTGTGCTTGAACCAGGTTTCTGTGGCTGCTTTAATTTTTTCATTGTAGGAGGAGCTGTTTTCCCCTTAGAATCACCTCTCATTGGTACCCCTCTCGTCAGGGTCTGGCCAAGAGGTTTCTATGTACCTGACCCTTTGAACTCATGACCCCTCCTGCCTCAGTCTTCCAAGTGTTGGGGTCCCAGGTGCTCACCACACAGCCTGGCTCTCAGTACCTTTTGAAATGTGTTCTTCAAGTGATGGAAATATTGGTGTTTTCCTATAAGTTCTAGAAAAATAACACATATTATTTCACTTTAGTTTTTATCCAATGAGATGCACATGTTTGGTTAAGAAGCAGAGCGAATGGAAGATACGTTCGGTCTAGTAACCAATTCTGAAAAGCAAAGACAGTGGCAAATTGGAGAGTTAAGCCATGTTTTTAAAAGAACAAAATGGCTGTTTGCTACTTAAACAATTCCCTTTGATTTTTTAAAGATGAATTTGGTCAATTTAACTTTCCAATCACTTACGTTAGTTCTGTTTTTTTTTAATTAAAATTATTTATTTAATTTTATGTGATTGTGTATGTGCCTGAGTGTGTGTATGTGCACCAAGTACTTGCAAAAGTCAGAGTTGTCAGATCCCCTAGAACTGGAATTACCAAGTTGTGAACCAGCTGCCATGTGGGCACTGGGAACCGAACTCAGGTCCTCTGCATGAGCAATAAGTGCTTAATTACTGAGCATCTCTTTAGCCCCTGTCCTTTTCTTTTAGAAAAAAGTTTGTGAAACCACATTCAAATCTCAAACTCTTAAAAAAGAAAGACAAGAGAAAAGAAACACAGAAATTGAAATAATGACATTTTTGTTTTGAAGGCAAATATTTTGACAAATTAAAAAAATTATATTGGTTTTACCAGTTCACAACACTCTTTTATACTCTGGTGTAATATATACTTTTTCATACTATAAATGATGCTATATTTGCTACACTAACAGAAGGTTGTAATTAAATTTGTAGATACTTTTTAAAGCAGGTATTAATATATTGCCCAGGTATTAGTTCTTTTTAATGTATGAGAAATAGTTCACCTGATTTTCTTTTCGTGATCTGCTAGTTAAGATATAACTGTTTTTCTAATGCATTGGGTATTGAACTCGTGGCAGCTCGTTACCAGTGGGTTTGCCTCAGCTCTGTGAACTAATTAAATTTTTTTTAAAGTTTATTTATTTATTTATGGGTATGTGTGTAGAGATCAGAGGACAGCTTGTGGGAGTTGGTTCTCTCCTTCATTCTGGAGATGGAAGTCAGGGGTCAGGCTTGGCAGCAAGCACCGTTATCGGTTGGGCCACCTCACCAGCCCCTGCTATCGTCCGTTTTATGTTTGTGATAAATAATGCACGGTGTGTGGGATGCGCTGCAAACTTCCCTCTCCCTTTCCTCCTCTTATCTCCATTTCTAAAAAAAACAGAAAGAGAACAAAACAAACACTCCACAATCCCCCTAGAACCCCAGACTGGTTAGATCATTAACCCAAATCTCATTGGAAATTCCCTGTGTAATTGAGCTAAAGCTTTTCTTGTCGATGTTGGTAATCAGTCTGGTTTAGTCTTCACCAAGGTGGTGGAAATGGAAGGTTTGGTAATTGGGAAGATATGCTGCCGTAGTATCTTGAGTGTCTCCTTTTAGGGGCCAGGACTTTTAAACTCTAGGTAACTTGTCGCTTTGTTTGAGAGCAGAAGGTAGTAATGGTGCTAACTTTATAGTTTGACATCGTGGTGGTGATAAGGATGGTTTTGTGCCGTTACGGTCTGAAGGCGTCTGTGAAGAGTCGTGTCGAAATCTCACCTCTGATGTGGTGTTATCCCTATGTTACCAGTGCTGACAGTTGAGGCTGAGAATGCATGATTTGTTTGAGGTCACATAGTAATTCACTGACACGGGTTTTAATTCATGCCTGTGTGACATCAGAATTAGTTATTTGTTTTTGTTTTCATTTGTTTGTTTATTCCACGTGCTGAGCTACACCTCCATCTCTAGAACTCACTCTCTTAATCATTCTCTTATATTGATTTCAAATACTGACTGATATTTGTATTATTTTAAATTTATTTATTTTTATTTTATGTATGAATATGTATGGACCCTATGCTCCTGCCTGGTGCCTGTGGGAGTCAGAAGAGGGCATCGCATCCCTTGGAACTGGAGTTAAGGATGGTTGTGAACCACCATGTGGGTGCTGGGAACTGATGGGTCCTCTCCAAGAGCATCAAGTGCCCCTAAGCGTTTCTGTTTTAATGAGTGTGAGATTTGGTCTTCTGTCAAAACATTGCCTCAGAGCCTTTTGGGCAATAGGCTTTGTGCTTATATGTGATTATATGTGTTACATGTGTTTATATGAAATGTGTTTTTGTTGCTTTAGAGCCAGTGCTTTGGTGATAGTGGATAGAGGTTGGTGCCCTCTTTTTAAATATTGTAATATTCAGAGGCTTTTGCTTGTATGACCGCAATACCATTTTTTTTTTTTTGTGAGAGTTACACATCCAGCACTGAGATTCTTTGTGGATGTTTTACAGCAACATTATACTCTAGCATGCTGCTTTACCACTGTTTTCTTTTATTGCTTTATGTATATGAGCGTTTTGTCTGCATGTAGGTCTGTGCACCACATGCATGCCTGGTGCCCAGGCGGTGGTAAGCCTTCAAGTGGGTGCTGGGAATCTAACCCGAGTCCTTCCAAACAACAAGTGCTGGAGCCAAATTCCCACCCCTCCGACAGTTTTCTAATGGTTCAGTTATGTAACACTGTTTCGCCTGCTTTCTTACCTGTTTCCCCTTTGAGTCACACAATAATTTGTCAAGTGATTTTATCTTTGTTGTTTTGCAGTTACCACATTAACACTTGGTTGCTAATGGCGGTCCTTTTCAAGCTCATATCTCACAGCCACTGGCCCGGTCATTGGATGATAGTTGCTTACAAATCTAAATAAGAAAATAAGCTCCCTAAGCCACAGTAGAAGATGAGAGAACTCAAGAAAACTGTCTAAAGCAAAACAATGCAGAGGGAAGAAAACCTTAACAAAACCCTGCTTGTTTGGTGCACAGCAGCCTGTCG